GACATAGAGAGCAACCCCCTTCCCATGTCTCTCCTGCCTGTCCTGGGTCTAGAGATAGCTTTTTAGTTATGGAGAAATCTGCTTCAGGCTGTGTTTTAAAACAAAATTGTAAACCCAAATTTGGGTTTTTTTGAAACTACCAAAACCCCTAGCTTTTCTGGCTACTTTTTCTTTGCTTTTCTGGCTACTTTCTTTCTAGCACCTCAGAGGTCTAGGAGGTAGAGGGTTACATCTGTATGAGGGTGTTTCAAGTAGTTTTTGTTTGTTTGTTTGTTTTTTTAATTCCTCCCTACTCTTACTGTCTATATGAAAAAACCCTCTTTTTGCAGTTCCTAGCTTAGCAGTCAAGGTCCATTATGTTAGTATTTTTTCTATGATATGTTTGACCTAGATGAATGCTTAAAACTCCTGCTGGAGTGAATCCTCAGAGTTAAACCATCCGATGCTTATTATTTTACTCCCCTCCATCCCCAGGCAGTCATAGCGGCTGACACGTTACCTTCGTTTCCAAGTCTGCTCACGTTCGATTTTTCCAGCACAAAATAGCTTATTTGCTTGAAACAGTTGGTAACAGGCAGCGCCTGCGGGGGAAATCATCGTTAAAACCACACTGGATAGTGGCAGTTCACACTACGTAGACGTGCTGAGACAGATTAGACAGGACCAAGGAGCAGTCCTGGGCTGCGTATCCAAGAGATTTTTAGAAAGGGTGGTTTCTGGTGAGGTTAGTGTGGACTGTGTAATGAGCTTTGGCACAGCTCCCTGTTGGACGTGGAGCGCTACAAGCCAGAGGCGCTCCTCTGCCGAGCTCGTGCGCTGATGGTCGAAAAACCGCTCCATCGGTAGCAGCTGTCGGCAGGTCGCTTGTCACCAGTTACGCAGGACGTGTGCCGGGGTGGAACTGTTGGTGGCCAGAGCTTGAGGGTGAATCGGGATGCTCAAGGAAGCTTTGGCGACCAATGCGTTAGGGAAAATGAAATGGATGTGTGTTAATTTTCTGTCGGTGTTTGGGAGCGTTTGATGTGAGCCACTGGGCTTCGCAGGTTCGGGAGGCCGTGGCAACTGTCAGACAGTTCGCTGCCTGCTGCAGGAATGTCTCCGTGTGCCACGGGAAAGAGCGAGGAGAGAACCTTGCTGCTGTTACCTGCGTTAGCGTAGGTGGGATTTTAACAAGTCTAACTAAAATTTTTGTGGATAAACTTCCATTCCCAGCTCTGCTCTGGGGGTGTAAAGGCACAAGGCAAGTAAGTGTGTTAGGCAAGCATAAAAGAATTAGGATTATTGTGTCAGGAAGGCAGCAGCAAGACCATCAGAGTTTTTCCACAAGTTCTTTAAATCCAGTTAATGAGAATTTCTTTTTTTCTTCTTTCATTTACTTTTCCACTCGAAGCTGTTGAAAATGGACACGCGGATGTTGTAAAGTTGCTGCTCCAACACAGAGCGAATGTTGAAGGACTTCATTCTTGGTCTGGGTGGAATTCTTTACACCAAGCTTCTTTTCAGGTAACCTGTGTGATAAAATTTCCATGGAACTGGTGTATTCTGAGTGATAATTTATCTGGTTTTTTGCCTTCTTTGGGGTCATTTTTCCACACCTGCTCTGGAGTCGTAAGGCTGTCTGAATGCCGAAGGGCTTGCAGCGCACTGAAGAGCGTATCTGAAATCACGTGAGACATTGACGTTGGGCAGCAGTAATTACTTCAGTATTACAAGTGCTGTGTGTACTCACCAGCTCGTGGTGTATTTGGGAAGTGAATCTCTTCCAAGATTTTTTTGAGAAAGAGCTGTGTAGTATCTCATCATCTTTGGAGAGACGTATGACCTATTTCTGAATAGAAATGTTAGCTTAATGGTTCTAATAAACTAATTTAATTTCCATTTGCATGTAGTGTGTAAATGAGCAAATGTGAAAAATGAATTTAAACTTGCCTTAATTTTTTTCTGCCATTAAATTTCATCACCTCTTGAGAATATTGAATATATTGCAGGGTTTTTTCCTTACATCTGTTTGGGGGGAAAAATAGATGTTGCCAATTCCACGCTTTTTTTGTTGGTTAAGAATAAAAATATTTATTTCAGGGATGCACTGAGATAATGAAAATACTCCTGGACGAAGGGGCAAACAAGGAATGTAAGGATGACTTTGGAATTACACCTTTGTTTGTTGCAGCTCAGTATGGAAAGCTGGAGAGTTTAAGACTGCTTGTCTCTCACGGTAAGAGTTGGTTTAGCTTTGTTGGTTTTATACTTGTGTCGACCTGTCGCCAGATCCAATTTAATTCTGCTCTCGCACTTCATAACTTCACGTTTCTGTGTGTTTTAATGCAATTTTAGTTGCAGATGGGTATGCAAAACCATCTTATTTGCTTCAGTCTTGCTTCAGAAATGTTAGGTAGTTGTCAGCAAGTGATGGTAGGAAATAATAAATCAAAGCTTTGAGAAGATTAAGGATCATCAGGGTCTTCTAGAAGCCCTCGATATCAAAATCAGCCCACAAATTTACTGACATTGCTCTTATAATGGGATCTTGCTCAAGCTAAGTGACAGTAATCTCTCTCTGGTCACAAAGTGACAGCACTGACTGGTTAAAAAAGCTAACAACAAGCTAGTAAATGTTTCCTTATTGCTGTGGAAAACCTGTTGTGGTGTGGAGTCGCTCTGTGAAAACGAATTCCTGATCGATCTGTTTATTTCGTGTAGTGATGCAAAGGATGGGCTTGTTTTTGGTCAGGTGCGGATGTGAACTCTCAAGCGGAGGACAGAGCCACTCCCCTGCTGATTGCGGCGCAGGAGGGCCACGCCGAATGCGTGGAGCTGCTGTTATCCAGAGGGGCGGATCCAAATCGCTACTGCAACGAGGATAACTGGCAGTTGCCCATTCACGCAGCCGCTGAAATGGGCCACACGAAGTAGGTGATTGCAGAAGCGTTCGGACAGAAGATTCTGTTAATAAAAACCTGATCGACCGAGAGGAAGTTCAGCTCTAGAAGGAAGGAAAAAAAAAAGAATTCTACAGCTGATTAGAATTTGTAATTGTCTTCATGTTTTAAATGTCTGTCAGTAGTTCCAGTGAAGCGACCAACTGTTGTATTGCCATATCTAACCTGGGACTGATCCATATTCTAATGAGCGTAGAGGGTGTTTGGCAGTGCTGAACCAGATAGCAGTTCACTCAATGACCGTATTGCTTTCACGTTTTGAATTGTAAGTAACAATAACGTACGCTTTTATACATGGCCTGAACAGCTGCTAATTCAAATGGTATGCCGAACCGTTAAGTAGCAGGAGGAATCATTTGCAATTAACGACTTAGCTGAACCAGCCAGAAAATCGAAGTCGCAAAACAGTTCCGTTAATCCTTCTGGAAACGCATCCGTAGCTTGCCCCATCTCAGCGATACAAGCTGCTTTCACAGCAGAAAGCTGGGGGGGAAGGAAGTTCCCAGAGTAGCAGGCCATTGCGGAGAAGCCTTTCTTGGGAACCCCATGGCTTGCACGTGTGTGACAGCACTTAAAATCAGATATGTTAATGATGACACTAACTGCAAAATTATTAGCCGATGCTTGGCCTTAACCACTAGTAAAAGGAGAACATCAGCTGAGCTGTTACTCAGGTTTGTGTATCAGTTGATGTCCCCTGCCCGATGGACAAGGAGGGCAGACCGAGTAGATACCGAGGAAGCTGGGGGAAGACGGGTTGGCAAAGTTGTCAGTACTGGAAATGTCTTTAAAATCAAATGCTGCCTTCGAGGCTTTTGCAACGATACGTTACTGGCGGCCTCTGAGCAGCACCAGTAAGTTCCAGTAGCAAAGGGATTGGTGTCTGTCACTAACCCTTGTGAGCTGGAAAGGATGCAGGCTGGAGGTGTGAGCTGTGAAACAGGATGGTTTTTTCTGTTTCAGTATCTGGGTGTGTGGTGTTGACCAGAAGTAAATCCTCGTTTTATTTGCAACTCGCATTTTCAGTTTGCTTCCAGACTTAGTAAAAATCTGGATTTTATGTGCAGGGGTTCTCCACTGCTGTAGAAAGGACTGTTGGATAGTAGGAAATACCTGTCCCTGGTTCGGATGCACTATTTCTTGCCAGCCTAAGCTCAAGCCAGAGCACTATGTTTGGCAGGGGTCTGTGTATGAAATGATAAAGGTTGGGTTTTATGCAAACTGAATAGGGAAAAACCAGGTAGGATTTTCTTCTTCAGCTGTGAGGACCGTATGAGAATCGACTGTACATTTATCGCTGTGTAAGATCACAAAATAAATAGTGGTTTTCTTAAATATGTGCAGGATATTAGAGTTGCTGATACCCGTTACCGATCGGATTTGTGACAACGGCAAAGGCAAAGTGAGCCCCGTGTATTCAGCGGTGTACGGTGGTAATAAGGAATGTTTGGAAATGTTGCTTCAAGAAGGCTACAGTCCGGATGCTCAGGAGTGCCTTAACTTCGACTGCAGATCGCCCATGTGTATGGTCTTCCAAAAAGAGTAAGTACACCTCTTGTATGGTGAAACTACTCACAGTTCCTTCGGCCTTTATTTCACTTCTTCAAACGTGCGGTTTTCCTGCCCTCCTTCCTCAGTGCTTGCGTTGCTGGAGTTAGACTGCGAGTATCCCAGCGGTGCATGGAGCTTGGGTCGCGGGCACGGGCTCAAGAACCATGCCGAAATCTCCGAGGGGAAGCTCGGCTCTTTGAAAAGAGTCTTGTAGAACATCACTGCAGTTTTCGTGCTTTCAGAAGGCCTTGCCCACACGTCTCTGCCTTCTGGGGATGGGACTCCATGCTGCAGTCGGATCAGAAGGGCTCTTAGGCAGCCAGATCCTTTTCAGTAAGGATGAGTTACTGGAAAACAGCGTTTTCCTTTTCTGCATGCTGGTTGTGTGCGAAGACAGGCAGAATTAATCAGCTCGACGCTGGCTGTAGGGAGGACTGCGAAACTGAACGATACGTTCCTTGAGATCGTGGCCCGTTTCTTACGCCCGGTGGGTGATGCGCAGCCCCGG